GATTGGCTATAATCCTAAGATTCCAGTCAGTGGTTTATCCTTGATTCAGAATCCTCACTTGGAGGTGAGAGAACAGCCTACAGTTTGTTGTTCTATCCAGGGGTCATTTCCTGCAGGAGCGCACAGGAGTGGAGCTCCGGCAGTAAAGAGCCCAGGGGGCAGGCACATGCAACAAGCCCCGCCCCCTGCTCCCAGCAGCCCTCAGTCAGAGCAAGAAGCAGTCAGGGAAATTGCAGAGCCCCCCCCAGTCCAAAACAGTCCAGTGGTACCTTTAAGACCAAATTTTATTTAGGTACAGGGTCTCCCTCCTCTGTGAGGACAGATCTGCATGTTCCCCCCCCCAATAGCTAGCAAGCCAAAACAGACCAGTGGAGCCTGAGCAGTGGGTGTTGCCTTCTGACACACTTCCAGTGACGTCAGGGGGGGTGGCATATGCAAATGTTATGCTAATGAGTTATACTAATGAGCTCCTGCACCTCTTTTTCTACGAAATCACCCCTGGTTCTATCTGATTCGGACATCACAATACATCCAGAAATCTTCAATATCCAAGTCATGCATGAAGGAAAGTGGAAGGGAGCCTACTATCCTTAGGACTCAGAGGTGTTTTGTATCTGAAGAATATAGTTCGCCCGGCAAAGCGGGATATAAATTGAAAGTAATAAATAAATAAATAAGAAAAATCATGCTTGGAAAGATTACACCAAACCAATAGAGCCAATTCAAGTGTATGGGGTAAAATGGGGCATTGTGCAATTACATATCAAGCTGTAATGCATCCCTTTTTAGAAATTAACAGGCACTAAGACTAAATCAGTATTCTCTTGCCAAACCATCACCCTGTTGTGCTGGAATGGATTATTCAAGCAATGGTGAGATGGGAATCAAAGACAGCTTTTATCTGTGTCAGATTGTCATGTTGGTCTCCAGTGACTAAATACTAGTTAGCTTAACCAATCATGGATTCATATATTAGACACAAATCATGAAAGTGTTTTAGAGTTCTCACTTTTACCTCCAGAATTAACTGAATTTGTCAGGATTAAGTAAATATATCTTACCTGGGCCTGTGGTGTATTCTTTCAAACAATATAATCGGGACCTAATGTAATGCAACCCTGTTCAGAAAATATAATCTTTTTGTAATGTTGCTGTTCCATTCTCCACATCTATACTTGTCATACAGAGTTTATGTACATCAAAGAAGGCATCAAAATAAATACACACAAACATACTCTATTTATTAATGGTAAACAGTTAACATTGGGAACCCTGAGACTTAATACTTCACGACCCCGATTCAAAAATTGTTGCATATATGAGTACAGAAAGATTTCTGTACCAAACAATTACTGTTTCAGCTGACATCTTGGCATGCCTGGTTATAATCACAATATTTATAGTCCTACTCAGTACTATCCAATGAGGCTTATTTCCAGGAAAGTGTTCTTAGGACTGTATTGTTAGACTGATAAAAAGGACCTGCCTTTCCCTCTTCTAGAATGCTAGTTGTCTTGGTATACTTGTGGTTTTAGCTCTTTAAAGGAGGGATTGTATTTGATGTTGTATTCTAAATTTTGTGATTATACCTCCATCAAGGCTGTATAGCTTCCTCCATAGGAGATAATCTGAAGAGCCAGTGTGGACTTGAAGTAGGGAGATTTGGGTTCAAATGCCCAGCAGTGAAAGTGTAATCCAGAGACAGAAACCATCATCTTCTGTGTCACTGGTCATTTTCCTTGGATTCAGGATAGAAAAAGATCATGGCAGCTAAGCATCTGTTTCATGCAAAAGTCCCCAGGTCCCATCTCTGGCATCTCCAGTTAAAAGGATCAGGTAAAAGGTGATGTGAAAACTGCTGCCTGAGATGCTGAAGAGCTGCTGCCAGTCAGAGTAGACAGTACCGACTTTGATAGATCAATGGTCTGACTCAGTATAGGGTAGTTTCATGTATTCATGTGTAACTCTTCACACAACGCATAATTAGCTTGTGGAGCTCATTGCCATGGGATATAGTGATCTCCACTAGCTCAGACAACTTTAAAAGTGTAATAGACAGATTCGTGGAGCCATGATGTCCAAGTGGAATCTCCATGCTAAGAAGAAATAATACTATCAGTACTTAGGTACAACAACTGGGAGATGCCTTCCAGGGCATCTTGTTGGCCACTGTGAGAAACAGAATGCTGGACTAGATGGACTATTAGCCACCTAGTGGTCTTCATGACTGAGTCACGCTGTTCTGGTAACTCAGTCATGAAGACTACTAGGTGGCTTTTTACCAAGCCTCTCCTGTAAAGATGAAATGCAATCAAGCCCCCACATAGTCCATCCTGTCCTCCTCAGAGAAAGACTGGAAATCCATATGACAAGATAAAACAACTCCAACTCAATGTGTCCTTTGGCTCCGCAGGTGACCTGTACATTGGAGGAGTGGCAAAAGAGACCTACAAATCCCTGCCGAAGCTGGTCCATGCAAAGGAAGGGTTTCAGGGCTGCCTTGCCTCAGTGGACCTGAATGGGCGCCTTCCAGACCTGATCTCGGATGCTCTGTTTTGCAATGGGCAGATTGAACGAGGATGCGAAGGTAAAGAGCCGTTTTGTAATCTTATCACGTGCTCCTCTAATACAAATTAAACATTTCTATACCTCATCATGGGGAGGGGGGTTGTCTGTAGCCTCCCTCCCGCTGTGTTCTGTTTATTTGCACTCCAGTGATGACAGTTTCCTATCTTGCCTGCTGTCATCTATTTGTTCTGTGCCACAGCTGTAAACCGGACTTGTTTTACATTATTAACAAAGGCGGGTGTCATTGATGGAGAAATGTACATTGATGGCGCAAAGCACAAATTGAACCTGAGGACGTTAACTTATCTTCTCAAATATAATCGTCGGAGTCTGTTCTCCTCCGCCGACGAGCTGATTTGCATGTCTCCATTTGTTTGTGCTGTACTGTAATTAATTGTTGTAATAATTGGCTCCCGTGCAGCACTTTATATCATCACGGCGCTTAGATGGTAGTTTACGTATAAATTAACTAATTGAATTTAGATGCACGTTTTTAGTGCAGGTTGTGTTCAGGATGAAATGTTCAGGCTGTCTTGCTAGGGCCCCTGTGCTATGCCATGGTGGTTTGTACCACTGTTGTATTCCAGGACTTGCACAGCTGTTATTGTCTCAAGCTGGACTCAGCCATCAAGCAACACAAAGTCAACCTTGGTGCCTGTTTGGCACAGCATAAGGATGTCAAGAGTTTGGCAAGCAGGGCCAGTTCTGGTGCTGAGGAGTTGGTTTGTGATAAAAAGCCTTTGGCAAGAACTCCTCCTTCTTTGCTTGCCCGGCCCCTGCAGCCAGTGGTCGCCAGTGATCGTGCATTCACCCTCCAAACTCCCGCCCCTCCTGGTTTGGCACCACAATGGGACCACTCACAACCCATTTGGCTCTTCTTTAGTGAGAAAGCAGAAGTCTGGGATTTCTGCCACCCAGAAGAAGGGGCAGGAGAGTCAGAAGCAACTGCTGCTCCAATTGCTACCACCACTTGGCAGTTCAGAAGGACAAGTGAACAAATGTCTGTCATGGAAAGGAGCACCACGTGGCACTACAGATAGCAGTGCTAGAGAGGGCAAAGGCTCATTTCTAACAGTCTTATGCTTTTGGCTTCCTTCTGACCAATGCTCTCTCTAAGCTGTGGAGTCTTGTGAGCAAAAATTCTACTTTGCGAGCTACCGGCATTAAAGTTCTGGGCGAGCAATTTGGCTACTGCATAAATGACTTTGCTCTGGAGCCATCCTCCCTGAGCTAAGACAAAAATGTGTGAGCTGGAGGCTAAAAAACTGTGAGCTAGCTCACACTAGCTCAGCTTAGAGGGAATACTGCTTCTGACCCTGAATGACGTCTGGAGCAGAGGAGGAGCTGCTGCCATACCACTTATGGCAATGGCAGAGCATGACTTCCAGAAGGGGACAGGGTCTGAAAGGGCCCTATCCACACTGCTGACCAAAGACATATGGTGGAGACTGCCTCTGTGGCCAAGCGGCAGTACTGCCACAAATGGCTTGCTAGTGGTTTGTGATGGATCATCTTGAGGCAGTGGGCCCTCACCATGTGCCTGAAGTTGCCATCCATTAGTGCTAGATTTGATTCCAGGAGCACCTTAGAGACCAACAAGATTTTGGGGGCGTAAGCTTTCGAGAGTCAGAGCTCCCTTTGTCAAATATGAATTGGAATGGAAATTTTTGAGTCCCTATATCCCATTCAGAAGGTGGGAGGAGTGTTGCAAAGAAAGCACTCAGGATGCAGAGGTGCAATGTGCATTAGCTTGGTTAGAGTAGAAGGGAAATGCATGGGGGCAAAAAATAGCATCTGTAGTAAGATAAGAATTCTACGTCCCTATTCAGCCCTGTGGGCGTCCATTGTTCTGAACTTGTGTTGCGAGACTGCTGAACTTAACATAAGAACATAAGAGACGCCAATGTTGAATCAGGCCAAAGGCCCATCCAGTCCAACACTCTGTGTCACACAGTGGCCAGAAATACCAGTGCCATCAGGAGGTCCACCAGTGGGGCCAGGACATTAGAAGCCCTCCCACTGTTGACCCCCCCAAGCACCAAGAAGACAGAGCATCACTTGCCCCAGAGCCCCTATCTATACCTTGTGCCTAATAGCCACTGATGGACCTCTGCTCCATATGCTTATCTAATTCCCTTTTGAAGCTGTCCATGCTTGTAGCCGCCACCACTGCCTGTGGCAGTGAATTCCATGTGTTAATCACTCTTTGGGTGAAGAAGAACTTTCTTTTATCTGTTCTAATCCGACCGCTCAGCAATTTCATTGAGTGCCCACGAGTTCTTGTATTGTGAGAAAGGGAGAAAAGTACCTCTTTCTCTACCTGCTCTATCCCATGCATAATCTTATAAACCTCAATCATGTCTCCCCTCAGTCATCATTTCTCCAAGCTAAAGAGCCCTAAGCGCCTTAACCTTTCCTCATAGGGAAAGTGTTCCAACCCTTTTATCATTCGAGTTGCCCTTTTCTGCACTTTTTCCAAAGCTATAATATCCTTTTTAAGGTGTGGTGACCAGAACTGCACACAGTATTCCAAATGAGGTCGCACCATTGAGTTATATAGGGGCATTATGATATTGGCTGATCTGTTTTCAATACCCTTCCTAATAATCCCCAGCATAGCATTGGCCT